GCTACTTGTTGTAATATTCCACACCCTTTTCTTTGAAGGACAAAAGTGTTTCTGAAACTAGTCCAACCTTGTGGCTGTTTCACAAATAGGGATGACTTCTGATTTAAGGCCAAACTTTCCCAAGCCAACAGCCTCCAAATATGTTTGGCATGGCTGGGAATTCTGAGAATTGCGTACCCAACAAATCTGGAAGGTCCAGGTTGGGAAAGGCTAATTGAGACAAGAAGAGGCTGTTTTGTGTGGTGATACCAAAATTGTGGTATTCCCTTCATAGATACTGTACATTCACCTGACATCTTACTTGCTATCACTTTAGAATTATGTGGATTAATGGACAGAAATTTGACATCAAGACTTAAAACAAGGACAAATCAGAGAGTCTCCACCTCCCAGGATGCTCTATGGCAGACCTTAAAGTAACAGTTTTAGAAAAGCATGACTTTAATAGCGAGATTGAATGAGTGCCCGCTGAAGTTACATACATTAAAGGATTTCAGGCTATCTCCAAAGGTCTCAACAAACACAATGGGATTTTAACCCATTACAACTGTTAATTGATCAGGTACTTGTACTCTGCCTCCCATGTAACCTGCATCTATATATCTACTTTCTCTTCTTCTCCCTTCTCCCTGCCCTGCCTTATCTCAATTTGAATCCTACAACAGTTTAGTCACCCTGTGCATGCATTCGATGAAGTGAATTCTGGCTCATGGAAAGTTTATATCTTTTAGTAAAATGTGTTGGCCAGAAAAGCTGCTATCAGACTCCTTCTGATTTTTAATATCTATAGAATATTTCTATGGATTTCTCTTAGACGGTACTAAGAAGGACTTTCTAATTGTTTTTTCCCCTTGGTTACCATTAAATGTAATAACTTTTTTAAAAAATAATTTTTTCTCAACCCTCTAAACACAATCATTGGCCAGGTGGTAGGGGATTTCTATATATTATTCATATAAAGAAATGAATGAAAAACCAGTGATTTCCTAAGAATTAATAAGAATCTTTTTTAGGTCAACAGTGATTTATCATTTCAAGTTTACTGCTTCTTAAAAGACCTCAAATAACATACATGAAGAAAACCTTTGACTGAACTGAAGAAGAGCAACATTGTAGCCCAATTCAAAAGAAAAAGAGGGATTGTGCTGAGAAATTTGTTTCTTGGCTTGATTTTGGCATTTCTGACATTGGAATTGGCAGATTGGCAGGCCAGATGGAGGGTGGGTCAGGTTAGGAGCTGATACAGGCACACATACAGAGTCAGTAGTTAAACAAATGAGGGATTTTATTATGGACACTATGATACTTACTGTATACCAATGAAGTAGTGCGATCTAATAATATATACAAGTGAAAGTGTTACTTGCCAACCAGTATCTGCTTCTATGTATGTACAAAATAGTATAAAAAATATAAGAAATCAATTCTTAACTTGCTTAATTTTCTTCCCTCTCAACTCTCTTTCCCCCACTTTCCATTGGTAATTTATTATGGCTTCTTCTCTCTCTCTCCCTTTCTCAACTGCTGATACTGGAACTTCTGTGAGTCTTCCCTTGGCTGTCTTGCTGCCAAACGAAGTCTTTAACTCACAACGTTCCACTGTCCAGCATCTGGATACCTTACAAACAACACAGTCCATCTTTCTGGTCTTTCCAGATTCTCAGAAGCTGCTCCAGGCTCTTCCTCCTGGTCTTCCACCTTGGCCCAGGGCTGGGATCTCTGGACTTAGGTTGTTCCTCCACTCCATTCCACATTAACCAGATGATGTCCTCTTCAGCAGCATGTAGTGTGGCATCTAAAATATAAACCCCAACTTTCTCTGCTTTGCCTTACTCTTTTTATATCTGTATTTAAAGCATGTATGTGGCACTTTATTTTCCTCTTTTTTGCCCACATACTCTTGGTCAGTTACTTTCCCTAAAAAAAAAAAAATCCATGATCTTGGCATAGACCCAACTGCTTTCCTCTAGCTGGGTACTTCACCCTGTCATAGAACTAATCTGTACTGTATGCAATATTCAGTAGATCTCAAAACATACCCCTATTGTTTCCACTCAACTTCTAATAGTTGAATGGTAACAGCAGGAGTATGTTGATTTCAGCCAATGTGCAAAAGCAGTCATGGTCTCCATAATAAGTAATTCTAAAATCAGAATTGAGGAAACATCTTTATTAAGTTAGCTGAAGATTACAGCAGAGTTGCAAATTTTTGGATTTCCAAGGTTTCTTCATCCAATAATGTCTGTATATGTTGGGGGAAATATGGGTAAGCCATGGAGATCTTATAATAAAAATGGTTTTACATTGCACCAAGGGTGCTCCCAAAGCTTGATGGGAGGAAGAAAACAAATGATAGTTGGCCCTCAGGTTTGGGAAATATATAATCCAACAGTTACAATCATAACTGATTCTGTCCTTTATGGAATAACAAGATCCCTTGATAGGTGGAGAACAGAAAAGTGGTAAGCTTGGCTGCCTTTATAGTAGCAAAGCTGGGGATAATTTAAAGTTCTGTAGTATTTTTTTAAAAAAATAATTTGGTACATGATACAGGGTAGATGATAAAAAATCCTCCCTCTTCTGTGTAGCTGTGTAGCTGTGTTGCTGTACAGGTAAAATTTGTATTTTACAACTCAAATAAAAAGGCATATGCAGAAGTGTTGTCTATGAGAAAAAGAAATCTAGAATCTATATTGAGTTAATACTAAGAGAATACCTGAAAGCTGACAAAATATTTGCAAACTTATTTCTCCTTTCCAACAAGCCCAGAAGAGTAGTGCAAACACTACTTTTGTACTTCATGTTTTGAAATTATTTATTTATTTATTTATTTATTTATTTATTTATTTTATTAAATTTGTCACTGCCCATCTCACTGAAAAGTTTACAGGCAGTTTACAGAGGAGGTAAAATCAATTAAAATAGAATATAAAGAAATCTAAAATAATAAAAGAATTCCAAGAATGATGGGATTGGCAAATAACTCAGGCCAGCCACCCCCAGGATTGATTAAAACTCTTATTGCACTACACAAACTGGCAATGCCAGGTCTTAAGTCCTTTCTGGAATACCGGGAGGGTAGGGGCCCACCGCACCTCTTTGTTGTTGTTGTTGTTCAGTCGTTAAGTCATGTCTGACCCTTTGTGACCCCATGAACCATATCGTGCCAGGCCTTCCTGTCCTTCACTGCCTCCCTGAGTTTGCTCAGTTTCATGCTCATTGCTTCAGTGA